TTCTTCGGCAATTTTTGTAAGTTTGCTAAATTTATCATAGTTATAGGAATTAATATATTTTTCTGAAGTAGCTTTTTTAAGTGATCCACTTAAAGGTCCTTCCATGCTCACACGAGAGCTTGTTGGTTGGGATATAAATTGATTTAATAAATTAAAAACTTCTTTTATTTCCGGTCGTTTGACTGGATCGTCATCCCAACATTGTTTGTAAAGTTGACAATATTGAGCCGGTGTGCCTTCAACAGGTGTTTCTCGTGCACCATTGTATATATTAATGGCAGTTTTTATCCTTGATAATGACCCAAAAGGTTTACGACCACTTGAGATTTCCCAAAGAACGACACCAAAACTATAAATATCTGATTTAGTAGTACGCTTATATCTAATGTCTTTAAAACATTGAGGATCAATAAATGCCGGCATTCCATAAATGTTCGAAGTTAGTGTAGACACTTCAACTGTTAATACTTTAGATAAACCGAAATCCGTGATCAGCATTTTATTATCGTGAACCAGGACATTTTTTGGATGCTATATAGAATTTAGTACTTAATAATAAAATGGTTTAACTCAATAAATTAATGTTAATAAAAACACTTACAAGATTTCTATGTACAATCTTGTTTTCATGCAGAAACACTAGACCCTGCGCTATTTCTCCTGCAAAACGATACTTATCTTCCCATGTTAATGATGAAAAGTTTTTAGTCAAATAGTCTCTCAAGTTTCCACCATTGGCAAATTGTAGAACCATCTTATAACCTCCATTGAAAGTATCTATTATAAGAACGAATGTTGTGAACATGCAACGGTTTATCCTTTAAGCTCATTAATAATATATGCATAAAATAGCAACCTTTAGTTACACCATAGAAATGATTTATTTTAGGGTGAAAGCTTACTCTTTGCAAAAGTCGAAGCTTATATTCAGTATAGATAATTTATTAACGATTTATAATCGTTATATTAAAGACTTTATTTTAGAATTAATCAACTATTATCATACCTTTCTCACAAATGAATCCATCTCCCTTCCTTCAGCATCAAGTTTTAAATTTTTAAGAGCGACTGTTAACCCACAACTTATCCATTCTGATTTTGCAACAGAACTAAATCCACCATCACCAAGTTTTTTAATTGCTGTGAATTCAGTATAATCAAAATGATTAATGTGTTGTTCTGAAATAGCTTTTTCAAGCCAATCTATTGATGAATTTGTTCTATAAATTTGCATCAGAGCTTAAAAGTTACTACCAATTCTCAGTGGGTATTAAAGAATATCAAACTTTAAGAATAAATCATCTACTAACTTGCTGGTAATTTAATATAATTTAATATGTAAATAATTTCTTAAAGCTTTATTATAATATTTGATTATAATTCCTCCGCAAATAAATTTTATACTTACGACCTACTGGTTGTTAAGTGTAAAATTAATCAAAACAAGAATTTGTTTTTTAAATAAAGAGAACGATAATTTAAAAAATGTCGTTGCAAATATCAAAGCCTCATTAAAATAAAATTCAATACTCACAATAGTTAATTTACCGCGTATGCAATTAATTATAGGTATAAATATGTATAAAAAAACCTTAATAAAACGATAATCAATAAATGTTAATGAACATTACATGATTTCACTGTCGATGTGCAATTCTAACTTTTTACTTCCAATCATTTCGATTATTTTAGAAATTCCATTATCTAGTTCATGAGAGATAAATGTCATTTTAATATATTAAGAGTCGATGCACAATGTGGGCGAATACAAACCAATATCATCGCTTTTAGAATCATAATTATTAATATTTTCTTTAAAATCCTGATCAGTATCATTGTATTTAGGATCTAATTTTGAGGAATTCGATTCCAATTGCAGAAAAACTTCCTCCATGGAAGGACGTCTTTCTGGTTTA